CCGAATTGAATCACATGTGTACATGATTTACAAAGAATGACTATTGAATTTATTCTAAAATTTATTTCCAACCATGCAAAAATGTCTACACAGAGTGAGAAAAAATTATTTACACCACAGTATATTATATTGCAATACTATCTAAATTCACAAATATGTTCATGTATCGATACCTTAAGTAATTTCTTTACAATAAAAAAATCATATGAATAAAACACAAGCAATACTATTGTAATCTGCTCTAAAGTCAAATATGGAATAAATGTCCATAGTTGCAGAAGTGGATTTCATGAAAACACACCGAGACATTTATAGGATTTTTATCATGATTATAATTCTTACTAGTAATTAAAAAACTTTAATTGATCATAAAATGTCACATAAAAGTATAATTCAAGTATAAAATGCGTATCATCATTAATATTATGTCATTCAAATGCCATTTTGTTTTCCACTTCGAATAAAAACTGGTATAAAAGTGTTCACCACAACGAAGTCGCAAAGCACTGAGTACCCACGTATAAACACTGAATAATGCCTTGTAAGAATTTTCTCTCTGCCTTGTCGTTCTCTCAAGCACGAAAACTCTGGCACTTAATGATCAAGTGGTGTACAGGGCTCATTTTTCTGAGGCGTTTTGCATAGCTGTAACCACTGCTTCCAGTGATGAGCCGTGTAACAACCCCTTGGCCCTTGACACAGAGGAATATTGCATTTCTGGCAGTGGTATCTGGTTATTATCATACTTCCCGAATCATACTTGACTCCACCAAGCTTGCAGTTCCAACAAACCTTCTGCTTTCGACCTTCATTATAGATAAGAGCATGAGACTGAATGTATTCATAAAACTCTCTGGGAAAGGACTTTGTGTTGTAAGGCGATGGGATCAGACGGCGGTTGTCAGCAGCTGGTGATTGGCGAGAAATATTATACAGTTCTGAAAGAAAATTAAAATATACTGATTTCGGTATCTGTAGCTAAATGTGCTCAGCACATTATTATTAATAACCATGCAAACATGTTTTATTGTCTAGCTTGCCTATGCTATGAAAACATAACTTCTGAAATGTTTGGCAGGTACACTTGCATTCGATTCGTTATTGGAAACGTGGGAAAAATAAATATGAGATTAAATACAATTTAACGATTTTATTGGGTATGATAAGTATAGTGTATGCATGTATATTCTTCATTTTCCTTTTATTTTCGTCATGTTTTTAAAGTAATCATTTGAATAATATGATTAAAATTTCTGTAAGCTTAAACAATTTTCCTTTCTACTCATATTCTCAACAATGTTCCACTAAATGAAAGATAAAAATGAAACGAAAGAGAGGATTATTGTATATATACTGAAAAATGATTTTACAAACACATGTATATAAACATGTAAGTCTAATATAATCTTACAAGCACGTATAAACATGTATAAAACTCATTCTTATTGATAATTGCACGTTAAAATACTTCATTTTGTTTTTATAAAGTACACCTTTTCCATTTTTGAAACAGCACTTGTAGGCTACTTATGAAACGGGTACCGTACTCATGAAACGGATTCACTACCCTGGTATTATAAGCTGTCTTCATGACACTGACTAAACATGTAATAAGTAAATTGTCCACACATTAATTCCAAAACTCAACACAGTTATTTACAAACATCTTCGTGCTTTTTAAGGGATCCTTCATATTTGAATGACTTGTCACACTTTTTGCATACGAAATTCCTTTGGTTCGAATGAGATCTCAAGTGAACAAGAAGTCGACTAGAACTGGCAAATTTCTTCCCGCATATTTTACACATTGGATAATTGCAATCAGCACTGTGAAACATTTTCTTGTGGATATGGAATCCCGAAGGCGATTTGAAGCCTTTTCCACAGGACTCACAAAATGCCACCATCGCCGAATTGTGTTCGATCTTTCTGTGTTGTAACAAGTACAATGGATTGGAAAAACAGGCTTGACATTCTGGGCAAGTCAGGACTCTTTTCCCCTGCTGGCTTGGAAACGCTGCGGTGGCCCCTGGCAAAAGAAATATGGGGAATAACATCAGTCTGCAGCCAAAACCCTCTTCCACAAATATCATTTATTAGCTACTGTAATAGTCACCGCATTGCAGTCATGCAAGTACATGTACATGCAGGTGTTTACGGATTAAGCATACGTACATGTGGATACATGAAGATGTAATCTTTCAAAACACAAGGAATTGAATATATACACGTCCTCAACATCACGAACAAATAGGCATCAGAAAACATAGTTTCTTTATTTACAAAAGCAAAGAAATTACAAAAAAATTGAATATTTCATACGTACAAATGCATTTTCAACGTATATGTATACAATGTTAAAATATCTGAATTAAAAATCTACATTACAAATATATGAAGAGTATATTATAAAAAATGCATGTATTTACAATGAAAACTTTTGTTCAGTCCGACAGTTCAGGTAATTTTGCTGCATGATATGGTTCTTTGTCACCGTGACGATTAACTAAATGACGATTCATATCGGCTTTGTGTTTGAAGGTCGATTTACAGTACTGGCATTTGAAATGACGTGCATCGGAGTGAGATTTCAAATGGCGGTTAAGATGACTTCGGGACTGCGCTACTTTTCCACACATATCGCACTTCAGCTGCACTGTAGGAAAATGAACTTTCTTATGCAGGTAACATCCCTGCTGAGTTTTAAACATCAGTCCACAAATGTCGCAATACGTAACGTAGCCATGTCTTTTCACATGCTCACTGAATTCATCACCATCCGAGCCTTGGAATCCACAAATAACACACGCTCTTGGTGTTCCGAGGGAGTCCGGTTCATCTGTTGTACTGCTTGAGGACTGATTTGGTTTATCTGCAGGAAAAATGTAAGATTTAATGTGCTGATAAAAAATATTGAGGTTGTCAGCTTCTTGATTATATTTTGTATGTGTGTGATAAAAACTTACAAGACACAAATTACGTATAGGAATACGTTCTGAAAACGCCTCGTTTGTTGGAACTGTTGCATGTTATCCTTGTCTTTATTTTGTACATAAAAAACTCCAATTATCGGCGGTTGTACTAGTTATTTATTGACAAAAAATATACAAAAGAAAAAAAAAGGAACAAATGAATACCTCCAAACACATTTTAAAAGATGATATTATTGTTGTCATATAATATCTAAAAAAAAAAAGATACACGTAACTTGTTTAAAACTTAATGTTCTACATGTAGAACAAATAATCTTCGTCATAACATATGTTAGGGACTATAGGCCTGTCCAAAAATAAAAATCATACTAGTGTTATACAATAGCTTTGCTTTAATCGGTGCAAGCATGTGTTTTTAATGAACTGGCGTATTTGTAAGATTTGTGGCATCGTTCACATGTGAAAGTTCTTGATGCTGAATGGGAGAGCTCATGTCGCATCAGACGGCTTGCACTAGCAAACTGTTTTCCACAGAGATTGCATCTTGGATAATCCGATATCGCAGTGTGATACATCTTCTTATGAATCAAAAATCCAGAGGACGACCTAAATCCTTTGTTGCACATGTTACAATATGCTGCAAAATGCGCGGATGTACCCTGTGCATTTTGTTGGAAATTACGAGACATAGCTTTAGGTCTATCTTGTCTTTTAAGTTGTGTGGAAGTCTGCTGTTGTCGACAATATATTCCTAGAGAAAGTAAAAAGAATTTATTGACCATTTTGTAGGATAAGATTGGTTTTAAAGGTTTGGAAAAATACAAGTTAATTTAAAATATAACAGATACATGTAGTATGGACCAAAAAATTAAAAAGATAAGTAGATTTAATAAGTAATTTATTCTAAATTGTACAGCTAATTTTAAGAAAATTACAAAAAGAAAGTACCTTTGATTTACAAGCATTAAAGATTTTTTTTATATTCCTTTAAAGGAATAAAAGAAAAATTTCTGAAATAATCTATTCCACCGTTTTGTCATTTCGAACATGCGTTTTAAAATGAGTGCAAGTCACATGCTTTTTAAGATGATCTTTGCGTTTAAACGCACTATCACAGTATGGACAACCAAATGGCTTTGCCCTTGAATGAATGGCCATATGTCGGCGTAAATGAGTTTGGGTCTGGAATCGTTTTCCACAAACGTTGCATTCCGGGCACTCTTCCGCCGATCCATGAACCATTTTCTTGTGAAACTTGAATCCTTCAAATGAAATAAAATACTTTCCACATTCATGACAAATCGCAAAGACGTGTTGTTTCTCTACTTCTTTCATGTGGTGTAAAAATGATTTCTCATCAAGAAACCAGGCGCCACAGTTCTTGCAGGCAATCCTGCGACAAGGCAGTGACACGGATCCATTTGCTGATTCGGACGCTCCTGTAGAAGAGAGACTGACTTTTAATTTATCCATTAATACTAAAATACTTTTTATTTTCTTAAACTCTTTTGCATAAAGAATACCCAAACAATTCAATTTTAATAAAACTTTATTTGACACAAACAACTACATAAAACACATAATTTTTACAGTGAAGGAAAAAAAATCCTTAATTTTAAATCATTCAAGACAGACAAATAAATATGTACAAGTAAAAGAAAACAAAATTTACAAGTACCCAATAATATTTTAAACTTCATGTTACATGTATCAACGTTTTACATGTTTGGAGCAAACTTTCGCCCATGTTTTCTTCTCATATGGTCTGCTAAATGGTCCCTACGTTTAAAAGCATTTGAGCAAATACTGCAAATATGTGGCCGAGCTTCCGAATGAATTACCAAATGCCTTCTATAATGACATAAGAAAGTAAAAGTCTTCCCACAATGCGGACAAATGAAAGGCTCGTTTCCGCTGCTCTCTACCGGAGGCTCGGCAATCATGGAGCGCTCAATGATATTCCTGACATGTGCAGAGAAGTCACTCTCTCCAGGTACATGTTGTGCTGAAAATACAGCAAAGTCTGATTATCAGAGGTCAACTACGGGGATCAACTACTGGATCTTTCAGCACAACAAATCAAGAAAGTTAAGCTACGAGTTCATCATATAACTCCTCATAGTAAAAAAGTACAATACATTATACTTTTCAGTGACATTTATTAAATAAAAGACATCATAACATATATACAGTCGTAAATAACTTTTCTGAAATTTTACAGATGAAAGGGCAATGAACTAAAATTCAATTCAATACAGTAAAAATAAACTCTAACAAATAATTAAACGAAGAATCTCAATAAAATTAATAAAAGACGACGGGTTTTAAAAGAACGATTCTTGTAACTACACTATTATTTATCTTTTGACTGATTCAGTTGCATTTCTTGTTGCACTGTATTCTCTAAAACAACTCTGCAGAAGCGCAAATGATTTCTAGCGTTGTCTTTCAGTTTGAATGTTTTTAAACACCGATTGCACTGAAATTTCCTCACGCCAGTGTGCACCACCATGTGGCGGTTCAAATTGTAGTTGTCCTGAAAACATTTCCCGCACACATCGCATTCCGGAAGATTCTGCGGTATTTTATGTTTTGCCTGCAAGTGGTACTTATACGTTGCCTGTACAAAGAACACCTTATCACAATGTTCGCACATTTCACAGTATTTTCTCTTTTCGTCGAACTTTAAATGGTGCAGAAGAGACGGGCCATCCTGAAATGTTGTCATACAGATCTTGCAAGTGTATTTGCTGACTCTGCGACGCAACGTTTCGCTTAATCGTGAAATTCCTCCTAAAACAAAACAAACCAGGTTTAAGTCAGTATCTACTTTAATGATTTCAAAAATGAATGCAAAACTTACAACTAGCATAATTTATGAAAAAAAAAATTATGAACACAATTTAATCACATCCAGCATGAAAAAAAAATGTACAAATGTTTTTTTAAACTGGAAAAGTAGAGACATTGATATTGTTCTGTATAATGCACAACTTTCTGGATTTTGGTGTGATATACATTGTTCACTCTCTGTTAATATATTTATCTAATGACTAATACATATATCTAAAAATACTTCAAATCTGAGATATCGTAGGCCATTTATTAGAATGACATGGACTTAAAAAAATCAAACCAGATCACCTCTCATTATGATGAAATATCCAACAATGAAAATAAACCAAGAGACTTGTTTTCAATTATGAATCGCTCTAAAATTGTGTTTCGGCATACTAGTATTTTTATATAGCACAAATCGTACACAACAACCGCTGACATAAATATCCAAAGTAAAGCTGACCACTAGAAAATTCGGGTCTGGTTCACAGTAATTATATGCCGATTGACATGTACTTAACATTCAAAACTGGAGTTTTTAAAATTGGTATTCTTAGATTTCTGGTTCACTAAAAATGGTCTTACTTACAATGCTGTATTTATGTATTCTCGAATTCAATCAGTGATCATTCACTGCCACTTAGTTAAAATTACAATATAAGAGGCAATCGTAATAAATCATTTTATTCTGTTTTAATTAATACAACATAATTACAGGTACACAAGTAGAGGACATGAACCAAGTTTACAAACACTATTAATTGTACAAAAAATTAAGATCCCTGTTCATGGCGTTTTAAATGATTCTGTAAAACCCAATTAAATTTAAAGGACATTGAACACACTTTGCAGACGTATGGCCTTGAAGACGAATGTATTTTCATGTGCCGCCTCAATAGGCTAGGAGTCTGAAATCTTTTTCCACATTTGGAACAAGGATGACTAGAACTCTGATCGGAGTGGAACATCATCATGTGATGCCCATGTCCCTCTCTAGACTTGAAGTACTTCGGACAGATGTCGCACATTGCGATATATCCATGATACTCCCGCAAATGTTCCAATTTGTTGGATGGATCGACCAATTCTCCGCACAATTTACATGCATTATTAAGGAACACATCAGTTGAATGTAACGAAGATTGGTCTGTGAGTGCATGAGAGGCAACAATATGAGCCGAAACTTGCTCGTGTGTTTGAAAGTACTTCAAACATATCCTACATTGTTCCACAAACCCATGAGAATTTCTCAGGTGGTTGTCCATGACTGCACTTTCAACCAAAACTCCACAAACCTGGCACTTCTCTTCAGATAATGAAATCTCTGAATGGTCTATCAAAGAAAATAAACAAACAGTAAATAAATAGTGATTTTAGGCATCAGTTTATCTATCTACCGGTTTACGACTGTCACTACATTTCAATCATACTGCTAGGCTGAATGATTTATTATAGAGTCTGATCAACGTCATTTTCTTGCACTGATATGTGACCAGATTCATGTCTCTTCCAACTTTCTTTAAATCTAAATGTTCTGAAGCACACTCTACAAGTATACGGACGGTCATCAGAATGACATCGCAAGTGTCTTTTAACAAAACTAGGACCCTGAAAACTTTTTCCACAGATGGGACAGAAATGCACTTCGCCTGCTGAAGTTGATCCATGCATTAATTTCATATGGTAATTATAACCAGATTTAGATTTAAACGTTTTCCCACATAATCCACAAATAGCGACTTGGTGGTTCTCCATTGAATGCTTAAGAAGAGATTCTTGGTCGGGAAAGTTCAAACCATGGCAGAGTTGACAGGTGTTGATCGCAAAATGGGGATGGGTAACTTCAGCACGTTTGCCTGACAAAGAAAACAGAACCTGTATGGAATCTCTATAAGATGCTTCCAACAAACTGGCTTAATTACGCATGCATCAACAAGTTACATATAGGATCATACGTTTAGGTATTTTTAAGTCCATGTTACACAAAAAAATGTTTTCTTCATACGCATAGTCTACAACAACAAAGTATGGAATGTATGGCATATCATTTAATAATAAATGCAGGTATTTGTACAAAGGATAAGTCGCTATAACAAGTTGCATTCTAAAAACACTGAGTGAAACAAGACGCCCTGCTTAAAGGGCAACAGTCAAGTAGTCTGTAGCAATGGATTGGTTATGACTGGCAAGATGAACCGTGCTGTTTTAAGCTCCACTTATTTTTATACGACTTTCCACAATGTTTACACTTATAAGGACGAGCGTCAGAATGTGTGCGGATATGGTAAACAAGTTTAGTAGGTGTCGCGAAACGCTTTCCGCACTTATTGCATGTTGGTACTTTACTTGTGAAATGATACACTTGTCTGTGTTGTTCATAGCCTCGTTTTGTATTGTAACATTTTCCACAGTCTTCACATTGCAGTGTAGATTTTGACAATGGAGATGGATGTTGTCTAACTGCTGAAAAATATAAACCCTCTAGTTTGAAATGCAGATTAAAATTCACCATTAATGTTCCCTAGGGATTAATAATATTAAATGCTATAGAGTAAACCTTAAAATTATACACGTGTTTTTAAATCCAAGATATCCTTATTCCAAGATAAATTAAAACAGCCTCCTAAGTATCTTTTTTCAACTTTTCCTCATCTTTGCAAACAAATTCTAAATGAAGATTCAGATCTCTTTTATGCTTGTAGGATTTTCCACATCTGTCACATGAAAATGGTTTCTCTGATGAATGGCTCCTTTCATGAATCAAAAGATTACTCATGGCGGGAAAACATTTTCCACACGTTTTGCATGATGGCAGATTAGCGTTGGGGTTATGATGCATCCTCCTATGTGTGTTGTACCCTTGTTGAGACCGGTATCCTTTTCCACAATCATGACAAATTATGCTGTAGCCATGATTAAAAACCCGTTTAAAATGCTGTGACAGATCTTCTTTGGATGAACAAGTTATCCCACAGATTTGACATTTAAAAGCTTTTTCAGAGTCCAAGGAAGGCAAACTTTTTTGAAGAAATGGCCCTGCTTGTCGTAGCTGGGGTCCTAAGAAAAGATGAATACTTCGTCAAATTCAGCTATAGAGTGGATATCATACGTTATGGTTCTGGATTATGACTTCATCAACTTTATCCAATACGTTTGAAAATCATGACACATCACATATCATCATAGTAATTTAAAGGCAACAAAACATGAAATATTTTAATAAAATATTGAGTATCGGTATATACCCTAAAAAAAAGTAAATAAAGAGCAGCTCGCATTTTTTATTACTTTATTTTTAGTGCGTGTATTTCAAAATTGCAGAACACAGAAACATGTACGGTTTTAAATTACATACTTACTAATGGAACAACTATAATCAATATTCATTCCAAAAAGTCATCTTAATCATATTTACAGTATGTTTTCAGAGGTTTTTGTCAAACAACTTGTAAATCATATACATGTATAACAATACTGAAAATGTGTATTAACATTTACATTGTACAAGTTTGTGTTTTTTAAAAAATCAATCAATATAAAACATAAGCTTCTATAGAATACTTTAAGTATGATAAAGCATACAATATATAAAAGGCCACTTATACCTTTTTCAAGGACATAGAACATATGCCTTGATTATTCAATATCAAAATCTGTTACTCTTGATACAAAATATAAAATGTCAACATCGCAAGTGGAGAAAAATAGGAAGAAAAAATGTGGATGAATGGACTGACCAATAATAATGGAAATATTGTATTAAATACAAGACAGCGGAGAATAATTCTTGCTGTGGCCTAGTGAAGTTTCATGTGTGACTTAAGATTTGCCTTAAATCTGAATCCTTTGTTGCAGACTGAACACACAAAAGGTCTATGATCTGAATGACAAGCCATGTGTCGCTTTACAAGACTAGGGGACTGAAACTTCTTTCCACAAACATTGCAAGTAAAGAGCTCACTGCCAGAGCTGTGTTTCATATTGTTATGGTAATTAAAACCTAGAACAGATTTAAAGGGCTTTCTACAGTGATAGCAGTATGCTTTGTATCCATGCACACGAATATTATGGCTAGTAAATTGTCCGGAGTCTGCAAACACTATGTTGCAATCCCTGCATAGCATTCCTTTGTTGCTCTGACTTATAGAAGACTTGGATTTTGGTCCTATCAAAAACAAAAAATGGCAGTAAATGGACTGGTCTTTATTGTTTCAGAAAAGAAAATGAGAGAAGTTTACATCTTGTTTCAGAAAAGAAAAGGAGAAAAGTTAAGATATTTCACATAGCGAAATTATTAAGCAATTTCATAATTATTCAAATTCAGTGCCATTGCACATCATAATGTACATGTACCAACTACATGCACAATTACCACAGGTTCTTAGTCATACTGGGTTATTATTCATTGATACTTAATTTTTGCATTTATTACAAAATTTGGGTTCACTATTCATTTTTATATTAATACAAATTCTAAAACTGGATAAACTGATATGCAACACATGTAATAAAATTTTAACAAAATAAATCTAAGGAAAATTTGCTTATAGAAACAGTACTCTAAAGCTGACAATCTATTGGACATACTGTGCCAATTGAAAAGCACAAAGCTTGTAAAAATTCCACTAAATTGGTATACAATGATACATGCATAAAAGATTATTTTGAAGTATGTTGACATTCTAAATACTTCATCATCATAATATGTTGGACATTTATGGTACAAAATTTCAATTTCAAATCTTTAACAATATATAAAAATAAAAACATTATACAAACAACTACCCTTCCCCCCAAAATCAAATGCTTTCTTCCTTAATCATCAGGCATGTGTCTATTATACGAGTACACAAGATTTCTAGTCAGAAATCAATCTTTCAACATTTTACAGTAAACACATGACAACATATTTCCTACAAAATTATAATATCTAAAACATGAATTCATTTTTGTTTTTTTTTTTTAAATTATGACAATACTCTTATATAGGGAACAAATTAATAAAACAACTACTAGGGAAAAAAGTCAAACATAATGTAAACCGAAAACTTCTAGATACAATAATTATATGACAAACTGAACACTAAAAAAAATTTTCAACATAAATTACATGTACTGAAAACAAAAAAATATTCTTATCAATTTAATAGAATGCTTTACAAACAAGTAAACACAATTTCTCTTTCCTAATATAATTGGTCATTTTGAAATGATATTCATAGAAAAAGTACCCTTCAATCATAAACTCACAATTACTATAAAATTCAAAGTAGACTGATTCTTAAAAAACAAAATTAACAATTTGTCAATGTAAACATTACCTCCAGTCTTATAGATTATCAAACGTTTTCTTGATGACCAGGGCATCCAAGCTTTAAAAAACACGTTTAGAACATTTAATCACGATTCTCATTTACCCGTATTCATTATTCATGTAAAAGCATAAGAGAAGCTTGATTATCATATTCTTACAAATTTGCTGTCAGGTTAGCATCAATTTCTTTTTCACCTACATGTAATTCATACATACTGAATAAATCTTCTTATGTTTGATTAAGTCAATATGAAACAATTCGTTAGAAGCTAGTTCCAAGATCAGTGAAAGAATGATGTCACTTTCTACAACATTTATGAAAATACTTTTCCTGAATTTAATTGTCCATGAGATGTGCATTATTGTATTGTTTGTTGTTGTTTATCGTCCCTCTTGAGAATTTTTCACTGATAAGGTGACACCACCACTTGCCAGAGGAGGGCTGCAAATTTATACTTGTACTTAGCACTCAGGGACATTGAGCTGTGAGGGATCTTTTTCATGCCAACACCAACAGCGACACGACATCTTCTAAAGGATAGATCCCCATATTCCACAGTGGATTGGAACCCACAAAAAAATGACCAGCTATGTATCCACCTTGCATGCAACTACATTATTGTAGGATCATACTTTGGAATAATAACATGCATGTCAAAAGGGGAAGATAAAATAATGTCCCTTTAATTTGGGCATACATGTATTCTCTTATTTACAGGGGTTTCCCAATGATCCAGGAGCCAGGAGTTTTACCCTCTTAAAATGAAACAAATCTCAGTTCTGGTTTTCCACACAACCTTATTCAAGGGGTAGAACCCAATATCTCTTACTATTTTTTTTAATTTCCAGAGCTCTTTCAGTTTTTAGTGACAATCCTGAGCACAAGGTAGATTTTAAGGAGTTAAGAGAAGCTGTCCTAACTATGGTTCAAATACATTTTTAGGCCCAAAAATATCAGTTAACAAACAATTAACTTTACATGATTTGTGATCATTTTAATTATAAATATAGAATGTTATGTTTAATCAATATACTCAGTATTACAATTAATCCCTGAAAATAGCAAACTGCAGTGCTCCATGTTGCGACTAAAACGGTCGCATTTGCAACCCAAAAGTTGGTTTTGCGACTAGAAATTAAAACTAAGTCGCATTTTCGCGACTGAGAAAATTTGGGCTGGCAACGTCCATCTTTTTATGATCGGGATCGAGATTTACGTTCCAAGATTCTCTATCAAGACAACGTTTGAAGATAAATACTTTAACACACTTTACAATGCATTGTATGGACTTAGATCACGTAATGTTATGACAGCATGCTGTAATAGTTAAGTTAGATAGAACCAGGAACATACATAACATTTCTGAGAAAATGGCATCCAAACGTTGTAAACTTTCTAGAGTTTCTCTGACTTTGTTATTAGAGCATTTGGTCAATGACTTGCATATCACAATTAAGTGTTTTGGCGGCATTGATAACGACTGAGTTATGGTTAAGAAACGTAGTAGTAAGTAAACAGGTAAACATGATAAACAATTGGCAAAGTCCTGTCTTAACAATTGGCAAAGTTTTATTTTATTTTGATTAAACTCTAATTCTAGGATCAGATTACTTATTTTCTTCTGTGTACATGTACTATACAAAGGGTGGTTGTATGAAATAAAAATTTATCCTTCAACTAGCAAAAGATTTCTAGTCACAGTAATTAATAATCTTTGATTTAATACAAACATAACACAAGTGGAAGTTAGTTCATTGTTTTAATAGTGTTATTTACATGTTTTAATCATGGCGAGTGAAAAATTTGTTTATGGCGACCAAAAAAAATTTTAGGTCGCCATTTAGCGACCTAAAAGTAAGTGCGACTTGGAGCACTGAACTGTGCACAAAATCTAAAATTACTAAATAGAATGCACAATTTATCCATGTTTATCATGTGTTTCTACATCAATTTAAAAAGATAAAAACTTGAAGTCCTTCTGATTACGATGATATGCTTTGAAACACTTAAAACATAGATTCACATTGCACTGTTCACAACCAGATAAAGGTTCTTTTCTGATTTTGTGTTTAGTACACTCTTTGCAAACTCTCTTCTTGGGCATGACTGTAGGCCTATAGGTTTGCTATACATGCAAAAGTACATGAGCTACATTTGTAATAAAAAGCACAAAACACATTTTACTCACATGTTTGTCACAATGTTTATTTTAAGATGTATATTTGACAAATTTTACAAGTTTACACAAAATTATTTTGTAAAAATTTTACAATAATGACAGAAGCTACATCCAAAGTAAACAAATACATAATAAATGTAATACAATTTCTGTGTTACAATGTTCATTACGAAGCATTATGCTCATCATGCTCATTTTCAACATGTCTCTAAGTATTCTATTTGTATATTCTCCCAAAGCAAATTAAATTTGATAAACTAGACTAAGTCTTCCCTACATAAGAATGTCTTCTCTTCATCAGAACAATCTGATTATATTTTTGATTATCATTGTGAATACCAACATTGCACTGATAGATGGCATAAAGCATAATCAAAAGCAGGGTCAGTAATTTTCAAGAAGGATGTATGTTTCATACAACAATGCAGGTTTAGATTTTTATCAGAAGTAAATCATTATGACAGACTCTACTTTGACTGATATATATATTAAAATTTATTTTATTTTCACTATTTGTACTATTGCAATCCCCTTTTCTTTGAGAAATTTCTTTACACAAAAAATTTGTTTACATGTAGATTACACATGTTAAATTCAAACAATGTAATTTATTTTTCAACAATAAAACCTTAAATAATTTTGTGATATTACACACATCAGTGCAAACATTGTTTTTGCCCTTTATTCAATGTTTTTTGTGTGTTTTTTTGTATCTTCAATCAATTTCACAAAACTATGCTGTGATAAAAATTTTGTTTCTGTATAATATTCTTAGGAATTTTATCTAGAACTGTCAAATGTACCAAATCTTGTTCTAACTACAGTAAAACATGCTTAAAACAAATTGACACTTACAGCTATGTGATTTTTATTCCCTATGGCTTTAAAATATATTGTAAACTTATTCATGTTAATGGAATAACAAATTATGCATATAATGAAGCATTTCCTGACACTTCATTTTAAGCATGTTTTACTGTTTATTTATGTTGGAAAACTGAAGAATTATACCTTGAATACATCTTAATTTGTACTAATTAATATTAAGGATGGATTTTCAAATTTGCAGCAGGTTATTTTAATTTCATATATAAGTATATAATTATGCAAGACACACAGACTTGTTAAATTTGCAATCATGGGGACAAATTGAATAACAAATAAAAAATTCTACATTTTCATGAATTTATAAATTTTCTAGACTGTATTAAGACAATTTTTGATGAAATCCTTTTTAGAAAAATAAATTCAATTTATTTAGGGGGGGGACATGACCGACATGACAGAAAGGATTCAATTTGTTGCCTATCCCAGTAAAAATACACAGAGGGAATGGAAAACTATTTTAATTTTTGGTTCTTCTGGGATTATTAACCTTTTGTTTTTGTATGTACAGGGAGGGGTAGATGCTTTGATTTCTCATATTTTTGGAGGCTCTCTGGGAATTCATGAGGGGGGAGGTTACATTTATTTCCCCGTTTTTGGAGGGATTGTATTATTGCTCCAATTTTTTTTGGTCCCTTCCCCCACCTCCTTTGTCAATTACTTTCTGGTTGTCAATTTATTTTTCCTAGAGGTGGGTGATCCACCCCTCTCTGAGGTTTTAAAGGAATAGCCCTGATTTACTGCCTGCAAATATTTGAAATTCCATTCTTATAAATGGTAAAGGATGGTGAAATTTATCTTTTGATCTACAAATTCATGCAACCACTTTTATACTCTTTACACTTGGTTTATGTACTTTCAATCACTGAAGTGGAGTTTCTATGTTTGATTTAAAAAAGCCAGTTCTTCCACATTGGTAACTTTCAACTTTTCCTTAATGATTCTTTCATAATTTAAAATGAATATACTGCATCTCAAGAAATGTCAATAACAAATTAGCATGATCTGATGACATACCTAGATTATAATTAAAGGTTTCAAAGGTTACATTTTTTAACTGTAAAGACTTATGAACTTTTGCCATGTTTAACAATGTTTAAAAGATTAATACCTTCTGAAATTGCTACATGTAGTACCTAAGATGACCTCAAAATTTCACCATCCTTAACCTCAAATAAAGGAAAAACAGACCTACCTTTATTAAAGGAATCTTGCCAGGACACATTTGGGTCAGCACCTAGATTGCTGCTGCTCTCATTGGAGAAGTCATCCCTTGACCATTCCCCTGGAGGATCTTCCAGTTCACCAGTGTCTTCCGTATCCTCGGGACCATCATGGTGGACAGGCTGCTTGCTGTCCTCCGGAATATCAACATACATGTCCAGTCCCCCTGTGTCTTCCTCCTCCTCTATCTTTATAATTGTCAAGTCTGTACTCGACTCTCCTGCCTTCCCACCAATATTATCACTGCAAAAAATTAAGTCTTGTTAGAAAAGCATTCAAATCAATTATGTCTGATAGTAAAATGATACAGTCTATTTCAAGTCCATGCACTTAAAAAATTATTTAGACATACCGGTATTTGTTTGTGAAAAAAAAGTTGTACTGTACAATGTAGATTCAGACGGGATGTAAGACAATTATTATAGCCTATAACAAAATATTTTATCAGAATTAAAAGTGGAGGGCAGCATTACCTCTGTGAAGTGACAGGTTCAGATGCTGCCAGCAGCCTTTCTACATCTTCAGAGTGGATCTCAATCGACTTCTGGCCTGCAGTGTCTTTTTCTTGCTGCCTATCTATTATGGAATCTTGACTTTGTTGAAGACTATCTGTTGAAGGCTGATCAATCACAACAGTTTGCTGTCGTCTGCTGGCATCTGTTGAGGGTTTGGTGGGTGATGGCAATGGCTGTGAAGATTCTGAAACACTTCTGGGACTCATAGATACTGTGCCCATTGCAGAGGGAGGTATATGAGGACTGCTTGTCTGTGGCCCACTACCAGCTGCAAAACTGGGAACTTGTGATGCACTGCCTGCAGCAAAACTGGCCTGGGATGGACTGCCAGCAGCAAAGGATTTCTGTGTGCTTTGGACACCAGACATTGACATGTGTTTTAACTGTGGAGGGTGTGATACTTGATGTGGTGCTCTGGGTGGTGTCTGTTTATTGCTAGGTAATGCCTGGCTGAACTGCTGCTGTCTTTGGAAAGATCCATCTAACTCTGTTCTTGGTGACTGGGACTGTTCTGTACCATAAGATGGCTGTTTTTGAGTTGATCTTGTTGATTGTGAATGGTCAAAAGTAGTGGGAAGTCTTTCGTTTGTTGCATCAGACCACCCTCTTCCCGTACTTGGTGGCTTACTTTGTGGTGGTACTGCTGAACTGGAAACATTGATTATCTGTATGTCACTGTCTCCTCCCTTTACTTGGCTGGACACTGCAATGGACATACTCTTCTGAACCGGTGGTCTGTCTGACTTCTTTGGCCACCCATCTACATCTCTCTCTGGAGGTTCAGTATTAACCAACTCTACAGAATCTTCTACAATTTCTATTACTCCTGGTGGCGGTTTTGGTTGAGAAAAACCTGACCCGAGTCTTGGAACACGTTCAAATGGATCTTGTGTATAACTGTGAGCCATGCTGTACCTGTCGTCTGCCCTCTGGCCTATTGCACTTGGACTAGATGGATGTACTCTTGGCCTTTTACTGCCTGGACTAGGGGGTCTACCTCCACTGTCTGAAGATCTTTTCATTGCACCTTCTTGAATTGTCTTTTGGATGTTAGTGGAACACACATAGCGGAATTCAACACCATCTTGAACCTCAAAATTAGCACCTTCATATGATGATATGCCAGATTTGACATTCAAACATTTCTGAAAATCGATGCAGCATTTTGCTACACTGTCTGCATGTAGCAGCTTTGCAATCTTTTCCACATCTTTGCAGTTTTCTTCTGTCAGCATCATGTAGCCTTCATATAAGTACTGAAGAAAGGTGTTGACTGAATTTTGCTTGATATCTGCATTTAGGCGAACTTCTAAATGAGATCCAACTGATGCATTTTCCATATGTTGAAGCATAGGACAAGCTGCTATCAACACCAGCCTGTGTGCCTAAAATAATCAAAAAGAACAAAGTCTGATCTTAGTTTCTTTAATAACTGCAAACAAAAAGATTCACAACAAATTACCATCAAAACAAAATAGCATTATCTAAATTATACAAAATAGTATTATCTACAACAATGTAATACTTTATAAATACAAACCACAACTACATAAGGCTTCTAGAATCAAACAAACAATTCTTTTTTGTGAAATTTTATTTTAGATTTTATATTTTTGTGCTTAAATAAGAGTTAATTTTTAGATAACGAGAAATATTCACTTTTTGCCTAAATTATAATTTCTAACTTTTCAAATTTTACTATATTCTTGGATGAGATTTTACCTTAGTTTGAACATTGCCAGTTTTAATGACAGCATCACACAGTAGCTGGTTCTTCCACATCTGAGCCACCTGTCTCATGATAGAGCTGGAGTAGATCTGGTTCATGTAAACCTTCTGGTAATTCATGGTGATTGTTTGCGTAGGTAAATGGAATCTTCAGAATCAAAGGTATAGAGTATTTACCTGAAATTACAGTCAATTTAAAAGTAAACGTAAATGATACAGTCTATTCCAGGTAAATCATGTAAATGGACATAAATAGTGTCTTTACAATAATTCTATTGGTTATATATGTACAATAATACAAGAAGCCATGAACTGATCACAAAATTTTATAGTCTGTTTTGCACACATCTATATTGAAAATAGGTGGTTCTGAATTACTTGTTTACTACCAGATTACTTTACTTGAAATAAAAATAACTAAGAAAAACTGGAGAACAACACATTTAGTTTAAAATTGTGGAAGATTCTCATGTACAGATACTGAAAGGTATTCAATGGGAACTGTGAGAATGCAGCAGTAAGGCAAAAAAAAAAAATTAATAGTTTTACAGGCACCGCCGCATCAGTTCAAAAACAGTCGTATTGATCAATTTTATTGACATATTGAAAAGGGAAATAACTCAATACAATTTTCTATTTTTCCAAGTTGAAAAAGAAAATTGAATTATTGCCCTTTTCATAAATGCTAAGTAAAACATTTTTATTAGAAAAACAATATTTTTCTTCCAAATTTACAGTATTTTATAAGTTAACTTTTAAATAAATGTTTGGAATAACATTATTTAAAGTTGAATACATATCATTACTAATTTCAGAGAACAAAACTTAAGAATTAGTAGATATTATCATTTTGTTGAACAAATTACTTTAAAAAAGTGTAAACTAAATCCTGCTTTAAAAAAGAAAAAAAAAAGCCTGCCTGCCGCATTGAATTCTGATTTTTTTGGCCTGAGAAGCTATTGATTAATTTTTTTGGCCGAAATTTATTTTGTTATACAAAAAAATTTACTGCTGCATTCTCACGAAGTGTTGGTGATATGTTTTTTATCTTTTAGTTTACTTGAAATATGTTCAGACAAAGACAGACCTAGCTGGACAGATGTAATAGTTTTCAATAGGCCTGAATTTAACAAGACTTATTTCCTGTTGGCCACCATATTGGGGGTCCAAGAGTAAATTTTCCTCTTTGAGCAGCCAAATTTTAACTTGTATGGCAGAAAATATAAGGGTGAAAATCTTCAATATACTAAAATTATGAATTAAAAGAAGTTAGTGTCAACATAAATTTGTAAGAAAAATTGTGTTATCTGACCCAAATGCCCAGCATAACAAGTTTAAATTAGTTGAATAATGAAGGAATTTGTGCTTGTACATCTCCAATACGTGGAGCAAGGGGGTAATAACTTACTCAAATTGTTTCGATCAAAAAATATCTATAGGTTGATGTCTACATGTATAAGGAGCATAGGGACACTTAGCAAGGCTTTTACTAGCAGGAGTACTTATTGAATTCTCATGCTTTACTTATATTTTAAAACCTATAAAATCAATTTATTTTTAAGACCAAAAGATGAGGGAGTCATAATTTTTTTTTTTTACAATCATCAAAATGTTGCATATAATTATTTAACGAAGTATGAATGTTTATTTTTATTTTTAAAAATACTTTTTTTGAAAAAAGACTTTGAGTTATCCCTCCTTTCAGTATTGATCAATGCATTGTGCTGTTATATTTTGTTGTTTTCAGTCAATCACTCAAAATGGCAGTGTCTCTCAATTTTCAATTGGTAATGAAATAATATCCAATAAATAAAATTCTTGTTCAAACATTTCACGACTTTCTTCCAAAATTTGTTAGATATTTGATGAAATGGTGTTCAGCAGGTCTTACAGATCAGTGATTGGGATAAGCTAGGGAGTAAATGTGACAATGGCGCACTCCAAGTTAGTTTCAATGTGACATTTCAAAATTCAATGCGCCGAACAGACTTTTTAATGGGACATTTCCTAGTTACAAACTTGCAGTTGATTACTTGCTGTTAGAATTTCAGTTGATCTTGACTTGACTTAATTGAAATTGTCAAATTCATTATCCTGGCGTCATATGACTATCGGAAACATATGACGGCACGATAATAAAGATACAAAATTAGTATATTTAAATTCACAAGTGTCAGAAAATAAATAAATAAACACTGCAAATTAATTTCAATTCTTTATTTTTTGTCTCCGATGTTTGACATCTTTAAAATGATTTAAAGCCTTGTTTAGATCTATACTGCTTCCCTCCGATTCATGTTAAATTTTCGTTTTGGTCTTTCCTCCGAGACTACAACAGTCTTACCGCCAGATTCATCTCCATTCGTTCTGTCAGCATGTTATACTTCTTCCGCGACATTTTCTACCGATTTACTGGAATTCTATTTGTTAGGATTGTTAAAATTAAGAAAAGTGTGCCCTATATCGGTACAAGGTATTTTCTTAGGCAGCATGCTGCACTCCTAACACCAGTTTATTTCGTGCGCATTAGCCAATCAGAAAACACGTAACTGTGATTAGATACTGGAGAAAAGAAAGTCATAAGAACGCTTTAATTGAACGACAGTAAATACTATTTTATCAAGCGTAAATTAACAGCGATTGTTTTGGGAAACACTACAAGCGCTTGGGGGAAAGCTCAAAGTTTAAAAGTTTGTAGTGCATGATTATATATGCGCCACGATGGCGCAGCGATTTTAATTTTAATGTGACATTTTGAAATTTAATGCGACTATGGCGCAGGGCGCGTGCTTATCCCAATCACTGACAGATTTGTAGTAGTGTCAGTCCATCTGGTCCTTAGTTTGTACAATATTTTAAATACCCTCTGGCCCTTATGTTGTGTCTACTGTATTTGAAAACAATAAAACTAGATATCATTATTTTAACAAAAGTCTTTACATTAATTAAAACATCTATAAGAAGTATAAAAAATATATTTAATGTGCATTTCTTTGTTTCATACGAATTTTAAGACAAAGAGTTGTCGGTCATGCGACGCTTGTGAGAGCTAAAAATAGATACTATCACCCACTGACCCTTTCAGCATAAATACTCTCAAAAATGCATTAATATACAATTATATATGCTCTTGTCCAAAAATACGCACCAAATTACCATTAACTTTGGCCTGAATTATTGAAATCAGCAATGATTTTTCTCGCACCTGCTATCCGCCATTTTTTCTTTTTTGTCCCTGATCTTTATAATTTACAAATCATGCCGGTAAGTCAAAATATATCCGGATAAGTTTCGCCTACCTATATTAGCCCAATGCCCTGATAATTTCCTGAATTATTTTCAATAATAAGTGGTATTTGTTATTTACGTCCAAATTCGAATTTTCACTGATGTTGAACTTAAATATCCCCACGTTTCTATAGTTAAATTGACTTTAAAAATGTGGCATTTAATTCCGTGAAAATGTGATATTATCTATATGAAACGCGATTAATTTACAGGAAAGTGATAGTCCTATCTTTATAAGAAACAAAACAGATAGAAAAATCTTTTCAATTAATTTTAGTTATCTGAACTTATCAAAAATACGCCATATATGATTGAATAAATTAATGAAAAATGGGCTAAAATTCACCTCTTTTAGTTTTTGTTATTCTCTGCAGCATTCAGTGAATCACCCCCATGATAAGACATGTGTATCTAGAATGTTGATTTTATCAAAGCGTAAAACATTATTTTTAAATTCATTTCTTTCTTTCTCATAAATTCATTTTCACATACTAGCTTTGAACATACAAAAAAAAAAAAAAAAATAGTATGCATCCTCCACTTTACCACCCGAGCATCTATAAAGGTCGTTATGAATACACAATGACGCCATGTATAGTCTGGTTTGAAGAACATTAGTCGTCTGTTACTGTAATCAAAGTAAGAAGGTGGAGCAGATCTTGATTTTTTTTATTGCTAATTATGCGCCCGGATCGATAGATCCGAGGCGTATATTGTTTTTGTCCTGTCTGTTTGTCTGTTTATCTGTTTGTCTGTTTGTTTGTCTGTCTGTTGCCAACTTCAACCTTCACTATAACTTTTGAACCATGAGAGATAGACTTCATATTTGATATGCATACTCCACCAATGAAGCTCTTGCAAATCACACCAAGGTCAATGACCTTGTGACCTTGACTATGACCTATATGCTAAAAATAGCTTTTTCGAACTTTCGCCATAATTTTTGAACCATGAGAGATAAGACCGCGGAACATTAACTGGCAAAATCGGAAATATACAGCTTACGTCATTTCTATCTGTTACAATCAAAACATTCAGTGATAGACAATGAAATGGGCGGGTACAATTCAACGCGGACGTGGGGAAAACATCGGATTGAAATTGCAGATCGAAATTCATTTTCAATCCACCTCAGCTACGCTAGAAGGCACATTATTACTGATTGACCCAGAAGACAAATAATTTCAATTTTGGTACAGTTTGATTTTTTTTTGTCCAGTGTTTTAAATAAATTAATATTTAAGAGACAAATATTTCATTTCTGTTTGGTAAATATATGTATTATATCTTTGTGTTGGGGGGGGCGGTTTTTAAATAAAGTTGTCCAACAGTTTTCAGTGAGAATAAGTATAAGACTCATGCACTCTTATAATCCTAGAAATAAAATATATTGTCATGTTAAGCCATGACCCGACTCGACAATTTTTTACCCCCCCCACCTCCCCCTTCTAGAATCAAATATTTCCTGAAAAATAATCTTCACACTGCTCAACGCGTTACTCGGTTGTTATCGGACACTCGGTTGATAACAATTTTTGACAGGTTAGTGAATTATTTTAAATTAACTCTGTTAAAATAGAAACAGAGAATATTCATTGTGCTTTTTGTAACAGAAATGAATACGAATACAAAATAAAGCCTCGATACGCATTAGTACAGCATTTGTTAGCTTTGGAAGGCTTTAAAAGTCACATTTGTTATATTTTGCAAGTTTTTCTCCGATTGGCATTGTTGTAAATAGCCTTTTTTCTTCAAAATCCTTATATTTACCTTGCGTTGATGATTGTCCACAAGAAGACTTCCACAAAATCCTGCGAATATGTAATTAAAGAGCAAAAATTGCCCAATTTTAACTTTCAGTATGTTATCGGAAATGCGGTTGAATAATGCACTTTGTTATCGGATAACTCGGTTTTGGTTATCGGAAACAAAGGTTGTCATAGATTAGGGAAAAACGCAAAGAAATGACAGAAATCCGTATGAAACCTAAATATTTAAAGTGGCTGGCACGATTTTCTAATTTTTGGCTTTAATTTGACTCTTTTAAGAATTTATAACTTTTAAAAAATGAGTGCATTTTTGGCATTTCTCACTGAATTCTGCATGATCTTGACCTGTTCGAAAATATGGTATAAGTTTTAAATTTCATTTCAAGGTACCGAGGTCGCCCGTGTGGCGCAGTGGTTAAAGTGCCTGCTCTAGAGCCGCCAAGTAAGGAGTCGATCCTTACGTCGCGGGTTCGTATCCCACAGTGGGACGTCGCAGTAGGTGCTGGCACAAAAAAGATCCCTCACTGCTCAATGGCCCTAGGTGCTGAGTATAGAAAAATTTTGAAGCTCTCCGCCGGCAAGTGATGGCGTCTCCATATGACTGGAAAATTCTCAAGAGGGCGTTAAACAACATACAATCAAGGTGCTGAGCGCATGGAACTGTTGCTACCCATTTTTAGGTCACCTGAGTCACTCAGGTGACCTATTGCTATCTGTTTTTGTCCGTCGTCGTCCGTCGTACGTCGTTCGTCGTACGTCGTTCGTCGTCAATCGGTCGTAAACTTTTGAACATTTTCAGCTTCTTCTCTGCAACCACTGAACCAATTTCAACCAAATTTGGCACAAAGCATCTATGGGGGAAGGGGAACAAAAATTGTGAATTTCATGATCCCTGCCCCCCTGGGGCCTGGGGGGTGAGGCCAAAACCACTACAATTAATGCAATCTTTAAAAATCTTCTTCTTTACTCTTGGACATCAAGCAGTCAAACTGTTTGCATGATTGTAATCAGCATTGAGTCCTTTACCAAAATTGTGAAATTCATGGCCCTTGGGTCAGGGGTTCTTGTGCTAGGGCGGGGCTAAATAAGTATATAGTGAAAATGCATTATTTCTTTGAAAATCTTCTTCTCTGCTCCTGAATATTAAATAAACTAACTAAGTACATAGTTATGATGAGCAAGAGTGCCTCTACCAAAATTGTGAATTTTATGGCCCCAGGGTCAGGGGTTCTGGTGTTAGGGCGGGGCTCTATTGATTATATAGAGAAAAGACATGAATTCTTTGAAAATCTTCTTCTCTGCTCCTGGGTATTAAATAAACTAGCTAAGTACATAGTTATGATGAGCAAGAGTGCCTCTACCAAAATTGTGAATTTTATGGCCCCAGGGTCAGGGGTTCTGGTGTCAGGGCGGGGCTCTATTGATTATATAGAGAAAAGACATGGATTCTTTGAAAATCTTCTTCTCTGCTCCTGGGTATTAAATAAACTAGCTAAGTACATAGTTATGATGAGCAAGAGTGCCTCTACCAAAATTGTGAATTTTATGGCCCCAGGGTCAGGGGTTCTGGTGTCAGGGCGGGGCTCTATTGATTATATAGTGAAAATACCTGAAATCTTTGAAAATCTTCTTCTCTGCTCCTAGGTTTTATATAAACTAACTAAGTACATAGTTATGATGAGCAAGAGTGCCTCTACCAAAATTGTGAATTTTATGGCCCCAGGGTCAGGGGTTCTGGTTTTAGGGTGGGGCTCTATTGATTATATAGTGAAAATACCTGAATTCTTTGAAAATCTTCTTCTCTGCTCCTAGGTTTTATATAAACTAACTAAGTACATAGTTATGATGAGCAAGAGTGCCTCTATATACCAAAATTGTGAATTTTATGGCCCCAGGGTCAGGGATTCTGGTGTTAGGGTGGGGCTCTTTTGATTATATAGTGAAAATACCTGAATTCTTTGAAAATCTTCTTCTCTGCTCCTAGGTTTTAAATAAACTAACTAAGTACATAGTTATGATGAGCAAGAGTGCCTCTACCAAAATTGTGAATTTTATGGCCCCAGGGTCAAGGATTCTGGTGTTAGGGCGGGGCTGTATTGATTATACATGTATAGTGAAAAAACATTAAATCTTTGAATATTTTCTTCTTTGCTCCTAGGTTTTAAGCATATGAACTACCTATACAGTTATGAGTATTCCTTAATCTTCAAGAATTGAAAATTTCAAGGCCCCAGGGTCAGTTGTACCATAGAGGGGGGGGGGGCTGTACTTATATACTGAAAATGAATGAATTGTTTGAAATGTGCTCCTTGGTATTAATCAAATATTTTTGAAAAGCAAGGATGCCTTTCCAAAAATAGTGCAATGTGAGGATCTAGGCCTAAGAGTCAAGGGTTCATGTGTGGTAGTGGCACTACTGATTATTGCTGAATATTACTTAGTTGAAATGCATTTGTTGTTCCCCTATCCTGCCTATGGGTATAAAGTAACCAAACTAAGGAACTGCTAAATGTATAGTTATGATGACCAAATTGTAAATGCTATAGCATCTGGCTTAAAACATGGATCAAATTCAATCACTGGAAAGTTTTTGAATAATGCTCAGGTGACCTATAAGGCCCATGGGCCTCTTGTTATCGAATAAGGTCAGTCACCGCCGAGAATCAAATTCACAACCTTTAGAACACGAATACATTTATAAGTTTGGTATATACATGTAAAGCAATTAAAGAATTTAAACTCAAGGGTGGTTAGATGAATTTCCAAATAGGTGCAGTTAGACCAAAATATATGACATAGAATTCAAAATTGTGAGGATAATAGAGGTTGACTTTAAAATATTACAAAATCATGCATAAACACAGATCTCTAAATCACCGGAGGTTGTTTAACGTACCAAGAAGGAATAAGAACCCCCTGATGAACGGTCATATCCCGAAGTGTGTTCAAATTCAATGTGTAGATAGAGCTAAATGCTCGGATGGAGGGGTGTGTGTGGCTGACATAGATTTTGCATTGCTATTGGATGTTTGCGAAAGCAAAAATACTCTGCCCCCCCCCCCCCTTGTAATTGAAAACGCAAATAACTGTTTGTAGAAAAAGTTAAACATACGAGGAACTGAAGTGAAACAATCAGCACCCCTTCCTCCTAAGTAGTAGGTATTTTTAGCGTTTGGA